CTTAGCAGTGTATTTTTGACAACTAAATTTGTGCACCACCAATTATCCTGAATTTCAAAATCATCACCACAAGTGTCTCACTTGGCTAGTTATGGTGGAAAAGCATATTAAAAGGGCCCTTGAGTGTACTGTTACTACACGACAGAACATAAACTACACATAGAGACTTCTGTTTTTGTTTTCTATGAAATGAAGAATCATTTCCACCATACATGTTAGGAATTTTGTTTTCAAACCTGAGGCATAAAAATAAATAAGACTCCTCACAAAAATAGAGAAGACACACGTCAAAGAAAAAATAATCATATACAAGATAGTATTTACGTGGTTTGACAATTTATCTATATCCACGAAGCTGCAAGTATTTTACTATGAAGAAGAAGGAATACAGATGGTGGCTAAACAGTACCAATCAAACCCTAAGTCTTAGAAAATTTCTCATTAAAAAATCACACAATATTATTTCGGGTCGAGTTATCATCCGAATCAACACAAACTAGACTCCATAAAAAAACCCAACAGTACACTGATGAGATTAATTTACAAATCTCGAATATGCATAACCACACATTAATTATATGTATCAAACTAACTATTGTGACATGAATCAAACTTGAACATGAATTAATAATAATGTCTACATTCAAAACACCATATTAAACAAGAAAAAGAAAGATATAAGCCGTGTTTGGTAACGTTTTTATTTTTATATTTTTAAAAAAAATAAAAACATAATCAATTTTCATTTTGTTTTATGTGATAAAAAGTTAGAATAGAAAACGTATTTGGTTAAAGTTTTATTTTAGAAAATCTAAAACCTAAATCAAAAAATATGTTTGATAGTCACTTTAACTTATGTAATATATTTTAGTTGGTTTCATAGGAACCAAGGCCTTCTGGGGCTTCAAAATTTGGAAGGAGAAATTATTCAATTTCACAAACCTAGAACACACGCGCGCGCACAGAAACACATGCCTTTTGTGGCTTCAAAATTTAGAAGAAAAAATTACCCAATTTCACAAACTCAAAACACACCCACAATACACAAATGCACACATATCCAACACGCACACCCAGACATAGATCTAACAATGTATATATCATCAGATCGATCTATGGCTATGGAGATCGATGTTCTTTGTGGCTATACAGATCTATGGAGGCTGAGTTTGATCTTCTTTGTTGTTGTCGATTCCTCTTGTTGAAGAACACACCAACAAGAGAGAGAGAGACAGAGATAGAGAGGTGCATAGATGAGAAAAGGGGAGGGATTTTTATATTCAACCAAGAAAAAATATTTATTTGTTACTAAGAAGGATTGAAGTCGGGATTTCATTAATTCTAGGATGAAGGGTGCACCTATTTTTTTTTGGTGTTTATGAAAACACTTTTTTTGTGTTTTCACTTTTTGGCTTTGTTTTTAAAACAAAATTGCTTAAAAAACAGAAACACATCACAAATATATTTTTATTTTTTATTTTATTTTTGACAAAAAATTAAAAACAAAAAAACTTCTTGTTATCAAACGCAACCATATGTTTCCCAAACATGGAGTTAAATGGTAAGCATCACTTGCCGTTATAAGTGTAACCCTTCATTTTTGTGGTTTATTTTAACACTTTAAAATCGAGAAAACTAAAATTTCTTGTCTTTCATTTTAAACAATCAGTTATTCCAAAAATTTAAAATGTTAGAAAAAGTGTAACTTAAGTATTTATATTTTAACACGCATCCTTACGTAAAAATCTTTTTGATATAATGTTAAACAATCATTTACTCCATAAGCTTAAACCGTTGAAAATAATATAATTTAAATATTTATACTTCAACATCCCTTCATTACCAAAAGATTTTTTATTTTTTTGCATGCTTGTATATTTAAAAAAAAAAACCATGATTAAGCTCTCCAGAAGCAAGATCTGACTGTTTGGTACTACCCTCGTGGATTAGAAAGGCATGTTTGTAGTCTTCTTCAAAACCAACTAGGATACAATAATACATTGGCAGTTGGTAGTGGTAGAGTCAATTCACCCATAAGGCTCATTGATTCTCACATTGTTAGCATTAATACCATGTTACCCCACACAAGATTTGAATTAGACATTTTCCTAACCCTATGTCCACAGCTGCCTTAATCATTTTGCAATTGCATTGGACTACTATGGAAACTTACCAAGCTGACTTAAGGCAATGTTGATGAATTCAACCACTCATATGTACTTGAACCAGAGGTCTAATAAGGCAGCTTTTCTTAAGGGATGCCAATTTTTGAAATGACACATTAACATACACTAACTTGAAAGTGAGTTGAATCATTTAACAAGATAATAAGTCGGGTAAACGTCAATCCTGAACAATCAGAGTTATATCCTACAAAACCGTTTTTGCTGCTAAAATAAGAATAAAATTTTAATTTTTTAATTTCTTGATATTGTTGTATGAATTGCTGAAAAATTAAACTACTTTTTATTTGGTTTTATTAGGATGCGAATCAAGTAGATTTTTAGTTTATAGAGACCTAAGTGGGTGGATTTGATAAAGAGATAAAAAAAATAAAATTATTGCGTTACAGTTTTTTATTTACATGCTGCACAAAAAAAAAACACGAGCATAATATGAATCCAAAATGATATATTTTCAACGGGATACAAAACAATTTAAGCATGATATAAATAAAAAATAACATGATCGGAAGAGATTGCATTAACACCCATAATTTATTTTCAAATTCCTTACATGGGGTTGGGCTCCACTCCCCCTTGTATCACTTAGATAATTTGAAGAGAATCACGTGCAATGTTAGAGTGGCGAGTGTAGTCATCCACAGAAGTCCACAGAATTAATAAAACTTAAAGAGAAGTGTGATTGTCTTTGGGACCCATCTGAAAATGACTCAATCATGTGATTCATCTATCAATTCGTTTGCATTGACCCACTTCTCATTTATAGTTTATTAGTAATGCACCCCTAACTAAAATTACGGTGTAAATTATATGACACTAATATAATGATGTATTTCGTCCCATTTTTATTTATTTAATATTCAAAATTTACTTATTATGTTAGTTGTCATATCATTTGGACTCTATTTTTTATTTTATTTTATTTTTTGATCAGCCTAACATTATTAATGATGATGTCATAAATTGCACCTCAGCCAAACTCGTCACTGACCAGACTAAGCCCAAGTCATCCGCCATAAGTAAACTAATTCCCAGATCACCAAGTAGTATCTCAGCAAATCTATCTTGTCTCGGATAGTAAATCACCACCTCAAGAATGCCAACTCGCTGTTTCTAGAAGATCAAGTGCCCTATAGATACGTGATTGCTTCTAACGACCCAAAATTCAAACAAATTTGATGGCGGAATCGTACCAATCTTGGATAAGGACAAAAGATTCTTATAAAAATAAGAGAATATGTTCTACGAAAAAAGGGATCAAACCCTCCGTAAACCGTCTTTTTTTTCTTGGTCAGTTTTGAGAATACACAGAGAAGTAAGAGATTCTATTGACAGTAGACTATCCTAGCTATTCAGGTTTGATGAACCCCTCATACATACGGTTGTCTGTTTTATTTGTTTTCTGACTGTTAACATGAATATTTCAGTCAATCATTCGACACTCAGGACCCTCTCATGCTCTATTTTTCACACCATCAATCATAGAATATACACTTTACTAGCCATTTTAGTCAAATTAAATAAATTGCCTAATGGTTGTGATACTGGAATAGAACAAGTCCACCATGGATGCACACTCCTTGCAGGTGACAACCCATTCCTTTGTCTACGTTCTCTGTCTCTGGCCATGAATGGGCAAACTTTAAATGACTAAATAAAAAAAATCAACTTAAACAAATGCACTTAACAATAAATGTGCTTGGGATGTAAATTATCTAATAATATCCACATTTTCAACATTTTTCATAGAAGGAAAAAAATTGAAATCTCTTGACTAGAAAGAAAAAAAATGCAAAAATAAAATAAGTACCACCAAATTAAAGAATAAAAATGTATATGGAAGACTTGAACCCTTGATCTTAACAAGACAAAACCTTTACAAGACAAGGAATACCATTGGACCAAAGACCCATTGATTATATGAAATATATATAAGGAAAAGATATTGCGGTCTTTGATTGAGCACAATGAACAATCAAATTTCATATAGTCAATCTCGAATAATTTTATTTTTATGAGAGACTCTAAATAACTAGAATAAATCTTCTATTGAGTTGGGAATAAGTTCGTCAATGAACTGGATTTTGAATGATATGAATTAAAATATAATTTTAAAAGTTTGATCTAATTATTCGATGATTTTATTTTTATGGTGCCTATAACAACTCAAAATTCGATCTGAATTTTACTAAAATTTAACAAACTATATTTAAATTTCGTAAAATCAAATAGTGAATTCAAATTCAAGTTTGAATTATCGATAAAAGTATTTTAATTTATATCTCATTAATCGAATTTGGATAAAAAATCGATATATTCACTCCTTGAAGTTAAAGAAGGGAGAAATTTAAAAAGTAGTTCAAATGGTAACAAAAATGAACTTAAATTTTGATATTTTTTTTGGGTCAATAACTATAAGGTTGTATAAATTAATCCAAATATGTTGACCGTTAAAAAAAAAATTGAAAAAAGAGAAGTGGCAGAAATTTTGTGTAAATGAAGAGGTAATTGGGTGATTGGAATGAATCCCGGCGAACGCTCCTTTTTTCCACTTTCCATAAACCACAATCCATCATCTACATGAGTCTTGGCCTAGGGGCTCTTTCTTTATTGTCTTTTGATAACTGCCACATGATTGATGTGCATTTGCCTATCTTTTCCTGGAAAAATAAATTGCTTTTTCCTGACCTCCCCCACAACAGCCTTTGTCCTGTGTCTTGCAAAAGTTGCTTATACAAATCTGAAAAAAGAAAGGTGTACTGAGATACCCACATTCAGACACACCATTCAAAATTGAAACACACAATATCAGACAACAAACAAGTTATTCAAAACCCATCCCCTCTCTCTCTCTCTCTCTACCCCTCTGTGGGTGTGTGCTTGTGTGCATTTTTGTGTAATTTGAACCAGGAAAGGAGATGAATCTGCTGTTGCTGCTAATACCCATTTGGCTTTTTAGCTACACTTCGTTTGCAGCTCCAATGGATGTCAGACCAGACTCTCCTCTTTCTTCCATCGGTGACCCAGTTCTTCCCACTGAGAAAGAGCCCCTTTCTCAAACTTCTTCAGACATGGAAGCCCATTCTCCAGGTAATCCAGCAGTGCCCATCATCATCTTTTTCTTCATTTTACATAATAGGTCATAAATTACCCTTCTTTTGGTTCATCATTTACTTGTAGGGGTTCACAGACCATCCCCTGTTAGACTGATTAATTCAGGCAACAAATTCCGCAATTAGCCTAAGATTAATTACATAGTATCATACAATGATAGCTTTGCTTAATTTGTTCCAACAAAGTGCAGCTTTAGATTATCCACAGGGATAATGCAGCCCCATACTTGGTAATTATAACTGGTTTTACTTTATGAAAGTAGGATATTATCTATTCTTTTACATTATTTTTCTCTTTTTTGTTTAAGTGTCCATTCATGAGTTGACAAGTTTATTTCTGAATCAATCAAATTTTGCTAAAGCATATTCATTTGCTTTTGAAATCAGGAATGCCAGAGGTCAGAATAGTGCACCACCAGGATTTGAACAAGAAAATTTTAATTGCTCTAATTGTCTCTTCAGCTCTTCTTGGTGGAATTCTGTTGTTTCTCTCTTGTTTCTGGATCTACAGACTGAAAAATTCGAAGAAATCTAATGCACAAAGCCAAGAGAGCTTGGGTATCTTCTTTTCCATGAATATTTCCATTCACTGATTCCCTTCATGTTTTTGGGTTAGACTTCCTTGTTTTACTTATGCCCCTCTCGCTGTCTCTGTGTCTGATTTTGGATTTCAATTTGAAGATGCTTCAAAAGGTCTCTCATTGGGTCCAATATTGGGTAAATTCACTGCTTTGAGAACTGCTGGTAAGAAGGGTTCAGTCGATGCTATTGAATATCAGCTTTTAGTAGCTGCAACAAACAGCTTCCAAGAATCCAATGTTTTGGGGGAGGGTGGATTTGGACGTGTGTATAAAGCTCGCTTCAATGATAACTTCCTTGCTGCTGTTAAAAGACTTCGTGGTCAAGGCCAGGATACTGAAAGAGAATTTGAGGTAATTTTTTTAGCTGAACTCTTCTGAGGGGATATGATTTTCCATTGTTGATTTGCTTCTCAATCGGAATTGCAGAATGAGGTTGATTGGCTAAGTAAAATTCTGCATCAGAATATAGTTTCCCTTTTGGGTTATTGCATTCATGGCGAGTCGAGGTTTCTGATTTATGAAATGATGCACAATGGTTCCTTGGAGTCCCAATTGCATGGTAAAAAGGTTTTCTCATTTCCATATGTTATGAGGAAGAAGACCAGAGAATAATGGATGCATTAACTTTTTTCCTAATGCCTATCTTGTCACTGCTGGCATAGGACCTTCTCATGGATTAGCTTTGACTTGGCACCTCCGAATGAAAATTGCACTAGATGTTGCAAGGTATTTCCTTTTTGGCAATTGTTTTTTTCAAGTTCCTTTCTGAATTTGCAGAATCTCGTAAACTATCTTTGTTCTTATCAGAGGACTAGAATATCTTCATGAGCGATGCAGTCCTCCTGTGATCCATAGAGATATCAAATCATCTAACATTCTTTTGGATTCCAACTTCAATGCTAAGGTAAATTTTCTTATGTGATGACACATGTCAAAATTCACTTGCTTACTTTTGTTGTTATCCTTGATGTTGACTAAAATTTTCTCGTTTCCAGCTTTCTGATTTTGGCCTTGCTATAACTGGTGGCACTCACAACAAAAGCAACATAAAGCTTTCAGGAACTTTGGGCTATGTGGCTCCAGAATATCTTTTAGACGGTATGTGAAAGCTTGATATGACTGTTAAGTTCTATCCTTTAAATGCTCCTTCTGCAGTAATCATCCTTCTTCCAGCATCTTAGATGTCCATGTTATAGTTTTGATATTTTGACAACAACTGCAATATGTCTACCTCTATACCTCAGTGGTGTTTCGTATTTAAATCCCAATAGCAAGATATTGGAATTGAGAGAATGTGGTTATGGAAAGGGGAGTTCTATCCCCTAATGTGTAGCCAATTTCATTGGACCAAAGTAGGAAAATATCTCTAAATCTATTACATTTTGAACTTTCCTGATAGCACTTTATGTGGAAGCATAATTAGCTTTATTCTGTCGCACATGGCAATATGCTTGCATATTGAAGACAATAATTTCCGTATTGTAGAAATACTAGTTTCTAGGAATTTTCTCCAGTGACGATGCATGTTTGTATTTTCCTTCTTTCAATCTCGTTTTCAGTAAGCTCTTAAGTTTCTCCCTTCAAAATAATTGTTTTTCTTTTCACTTCCTTTACTTTTCCACCATATTTTTTGCATTAATTTGCAATTCCTCGGTGCCATTTTCAAGTTTTCACATCAGCACACCTGGCTTAGAATATGGCTTGAAAAACCTGTTTTCTAACACGAAGATAAAGTAAACTCTCTCTACTTGGCTATGTAGACCACACACTTTTCTGTAAATCTCACAATGCTTCTTGCCCTGGAATCTCAGTTCTTTCAAGCAAAAATATATTCTTGGGCAAGGATTTGTTTCATTGCTTTTAGAGGAAGCCTGTTGTATTATGATTCTAATGTTAGTCTGTTCTATTCATGATGTATCTGTAAAGCCTACAGATTCTAAAGTTGCCCTGAACCAATCCAATAATTGGGAAGCAGCCACCTAATTTAGAAGGAAAAAATATTTACTAATTCTTAAGGACTCGAAATTCATGTCAACACCACATCTCAACTTTCCATGTTTGCAATTTTGGTTTGAAAAATCCTGTGGATCCACCCTCCCCTTAAACCAGAGTGCCTTGAGATTCAACAAAAGACTCACAGATAAATTTATCATTGGTCATTTTTCAGGTAAACTAACTGATAAAAGTGACGTCTATGCTTTTGGTGTTGTTCTTCTGGAGCTTTTGATGGGAAAAAAGCCTGTGGAAAAAATGTCCCCATCTCAATGCCATTCTATTGTCACATGGGTATATTTTCCCTCAGCTCCCCATAGTTAGCTATGAAGCTTTGAGTACAAGGTCTTGTAGTGTAATTTTCTGTTGTTGATAAGCAGGCCATGCCTCAGCTGACTGACAGGTCAAAGCTCCCAAACATCGTGGATCCTGTTATCAGAAGTACAATGGATGTCAAGCACTTATATCAAGTTTGTTCCCTGAAACTATTATTTACTCAATTATGAATTACTCTTTTCTATTCCTCAATTGAATTATATGCATCAACTTGGTTAGGTTGCAGCTGTAGCCGTGCTATGCGTGCAACCAGAACCAAGTTACAGGCCGTTGATAACAGATGTCCTACACTCCTTCATCCCACTTGTGCCTGTTGAGCTTGGAGGGTCACTAAGAGTTGCTGACTCTGTGTCCCCTGCCAGAAGCTAGAGTTATTATCGCTGATAATATAAATGGGCTTGGGCTTGCATTCAAGGCAGCACTGTCATATTTTCTTCATCATTCAAAGCTGAGATGTATCGGAGAGCCCAGCTTCCTCTTCCCCACCCACCCCCCAAAAAACAAAAATTAATTGTTACCTCAATTGCCTTTTTTGTTTGAGAATCAGAAGCAGAAAATTGTTGCAGAGAAATTTTGCTTTTGTTTGTACAGTTGTAAATGCAGGAGATCTTGTTTTTGACTCTTATTTAAAAAGTAGCATGTGCTAGTTTAGATATTTCGGTTTGTGTCCATCACATGGCTCAATCAAACTGAGCTGTTCTGTGTGTTATGTTACATAGATGTGCTACACTTGCTTATTGAGATATTTAGGACTTGTTGGCTCATTATTTTGGGCTATCACAAATTACTTCTGCCATGAGCCAGTGACTGCTGTCAGGGTCTTCCAGTTCACATAGTGAAATTCTCTTTTCAGCATATGACCTTCAATTACCTTAAATGTTCTTAATCCAGTTATTTGAACCTGATTACATAGAGCAAAAGAGGGTTGGTCCGGTGGTTGGCGCCTTCCCCACCTTGCTCCCCCAAGTCAAGGTTCGAGTCTCATCCTCTCATCGTCGGCTTACATGCCTTAATTTCAATATATAATGAATGTTCCAAGGCAGAAGAGCTTCAAAAGAGAGGAGGCAGACCAGAACCATTTGTGTGTGTGTGTGTGAGAGAGAGAGAGAGAGAGACCTCAAGACCCAAGGTTGGTATTTCACACCTAAGGCAGGAGAGCCAGTGACCGAGGCCACAATCTGGACGAATTATACTTCTCACATAGCAAATTATACTTCATATCCTGGGAATTCCAAGAAAATTTCAACTTGTTTTAACTAATGTTATGTTTCATTGTTCCTTGAAGTTTTCAGAGATGGACAGTGACTACCAATTCAGTCACTACCAATTATTTCTCAATACAAAACAGAATCAAGATGGACAATTTATTTAGTATAACGAATTTCTCGGAGAATCTCCTTCCTTTTTGTAAACATCAATAGCTACAAAATTTCCTATTCATTGCACATAAAAAAATAAACTTTTTTGACTTTCTGGGTAAAAAAAAAACCTAAAGCTTAATTACGATCTACCAACGAAGCACACATCGTGTATAGAGAGGATTTTCAGTACTTGTTCAAGTTTTCCAGTAATTAAGTGTTGAAAATCCTCTCTGTTTTTTCTCACTAAAGGGAGGAGGGCGACCAAATGTAGAATTCCTGTAGCAATCACAGGAAGTTAAGTGCCGCTGAACCAACAGCTTGATGGTGTCAAAAATCCTCTTTAGTATACACTTATTTGTGCAGAAAAGCCATGTAAAACAGCTCCCGAGTGCAAGATTCTAGTGAATTTTAACATTGAATGAAGTCTATTGCTAATCCATTCATCGTAGTACATTAGATCTCCAAATTATATCCATCTAGTGTTATTAGTGTAAATAACACATGTGAAAATGCCTACCATAACAACACTTGACAATTACTGGCAAATAGGGGTGTTAAAGTATGACACAACACGAAATTAAAGAATTTGAATCTTCTTTAAACCACCCGTTTTTTAAATTAGTGGACCCGACACAACCTTATCAATAAACGAATGAGGTATTCAAAAGAAATACATGATATGACTCATTTATATACTAGTTATACACCGTTCATACACGACACAAATTTGATATGAGACGACTCGTTAGACACAAATAAATAAATAAATTAAATATGAGTGAACTACTTTTGACACAAACTCGTCTCATCCAACATGACTCACAAACCTACCAACAAATAGTTTCTAAACACTATTATATAGCATAATGCGTGGAATAAGATCACTGTAGGCACAAGATTTTATCTAGTTGGGTAACGAAGTATACTATGTGAAAAGATAACATAATTGTCACGATATCATCTATGGAATCATATCAAACAAGCACACTTACCAGCAACTAAAGTACACGGCCTGTCATGAAAATTTCAGCCTCCCCAAAAGAATGCTGCTACTAATTAACTAACCCTGCCAACTACTACCTGTCATTTGTCTCTCTCTCTCTCTCTCTATCCTCTCATACACACACAAACAGCACCTGAGAGAAAAACCATGGCCTGTTCAAGATGGGTCTGCATTAATAACTCAAGAAGCATGTTTGTGAAGATTGTTCATCGTGGTGGCCATGTAGAACTCCATGATAGGCCTATTCTTGCAGCTGAGATACTTCTTCGAAACCCGAAATGTTGTGTTGCTCATCCAAACGTTTTCAAGCAGCCTTGGGCCATCGTTGCACCGGACACCACCCTATTGCCCGGCCAAAAGTTCTATGTGGTGCCCATAGGCACAATCAGAAAGCTTCAAAGACACTCTTCCACGTATTCCTCTTCTCTGATCAGTCAAGAAATTCAGACCAGTCAAATTGGCAAAGTTGAAGAAGGAGAAGGTGATTCTACCTGCTGGTTGTTCATAGCTACTAATTCTCCAAAACTATGTTCACCATGTCTGAAACAAACTGAGAACGAGGGAGAGAAAGCAAAAATGGAGAAATTAAATGGTCACTGTTTGGAAGACAATTGCTTTCCTTGCTTGTCAAAAGCGATTAACAAGATTAAAACCAGCACTGAGGATTCAAGCAAAGATTCGAGATTAATTTCGGGCAGTTTGGGATCATCTGAGACAAGGGTAGGAACCAGGAAGAGGATCAAGGTTGTTAATACAAAGGGATTTCCCAATAGACTGGCATGTTTTGATCAGTCTTGGCGACCAAGTCTAGTGAGCATCAGTGAAGAATAGGGATCTGGACCCTCTATCGTTAGTTTTTTCAACAACATGGGTAATATTTCCCAAAACAACGTTGTTTCACACCAAAACATATATCTTTTTATTAAATAAAACGATATTATTTTGGTGTGACACAACGTCATTTTGAGGAAGAGCACCTCTGCTGTACAGCAGAGGATCTAGACTCGAAGAATAGAGGTACTGGAAAAGTCTTGGTGAATAATTGTGTTGATCAGCTTGCATATGCAAATAATCAAACACTGTTGTACTCTGCTTCTGTTATTGTGCAAAGGCATAAATAACTATTTTATCAGGGAGATACCAGCAATATATGTAAAAATTACATTTTCTATACATAATTTTCTTTACTCCATTTGACTACTTGGATTTGATGAATGAGATAGAGGCTAAAATTCACAATCTTGATAATATTTGTTGCATATATAGATGCATGTACCTGTGCTTGTTCAATAGTTGTAAATGGAAACATCCTGATTTGATTCGGAATAAATTGTTTATATCTCACATATTTCATTTTCTTAGCCACGAGTTTGACTCCCCTCCAATTTTTTAAGAATTGAACGATGCTTCAATTCTCTTTTAATGGCAAAGATCTACATGGTTTTATACTAGTTCATTGAATAGAGCCGAATCCCACCGATATTGGCAAAAAGTCTAGCCACATGGAAAAAATATTGGAGCACATTATTGGCAAGTGGTTGTTTTTATATAACCTCTCAAGTGACAATATGAAAGAAACAAAGGAACACTAGATAAAAAAAAAAATACGAATTATAATTTCGTGCATCGTATGGGTGGACTATTAATAAATAAATAAATAAATAATATATATATATATAGTTATTATCTATGCCTGAAGGCACAAAATAATAAAAAATAGTAAACAATAAACATATTTATATTCATATTTAAAATCAAATCACAAATATAGAAGATAAATAAATGAATTTAAGCATTGGTTGTAGTGGGTGTGAGAAATGGTGGGCGACAGTAGTGGTGGTAGGAGACAATAATGGTTATGGTGAGTGAAATGATCGTGGTGGTGGTGACGACAGTGGGGGATGGCGGTGGCAACGGCGACGACGATAATGATGGTGGCGGCGGCGGCGGTGGCGGTGGTGGTAAAGGTAATAATAGGGCGGTTTCAAACACTATTTTTTAAAAAATACTTATGAGAAATAATTCTTAAAAGTACTTTAAAAAGTCACTCCAAAATTTAAGACTTATTTTCCATATTAAATTTAGAATGTTAATATTAGTCGTTAGATTAATTTAAAGTAAAATTTAAAGCGAATTGAAGTGCAAAAATAAAAGTCATTTTGTTTATTTTTAAAATTTGAATTGTAAGTTAATATTTTATATATATATATATATATATATATATATATATATATATATATATATATATATATATATATATATATAATGTGACAATCTAATTTAGAAAATGTTGATTTTTATATGACTAGCATTGAATAGATGCGCTAATTACGAATGTCATTTTGTTATGTTTTCGTTGTTAAGTTGGTTTCGTTGTAATTCTTAAGTTAATGGTGGTATTTCGAAAGCCAAAAAAACTTCTTGTATCTTCTTGAGTTGAACATTTTTATAGTCATCTCTCTCTGTTGCTCCAAACCCATGTCAATTAGAAAAGAAAAGGGTAAATTGTAAAACGGCATACCAAATTAAATTTATTTGTCGAAAAAAAACACTAAAAAATGTAGAATTATTAAGTATTTAATTTTGATACTTATTTGTATTCAAGTACATAATTTGAATTTATCTATTTTTATTGTGACATTTTTTTTTCATTAATTCATGTGTATTTAATGCACTATTTTTCTTTGAAAAATGGTGCATTAAACATCTCCTAATTTTATGGGAAAACTTTAATACACATATATACACGTTTTTATATATAAATACATAATTTAATATATTTTTATACATATATTTATATATAAATAAAATAAAAATATATATATATTATATACTTATATATGTATGTATATACTTATTGTTAAATCTCTTATCTAAATTTTAAATTATCTTTTAATGCACCTAAAATTAGGTGCATGTATATTCATGCATTTTTTTAAATTATTCGAATATGTATGTATATTCATCATTTTTTTAGAAAGTAATTTTATTTTCAAATTAATTCAATATCCGAATAGTGTAATAGTGTAACAATAACAGTGTAACACTGACAATAACAGTATAACAATAATAGTGTAACAAGTTATTTACACAAAATATTGTACTATTATATTTTGTCAAACATATAATTACATATAATTTCATTCAAAATAGTTCATCTCCGTTTTGAATTTATTACCATATACACAAAATTGTTGAACACTATTTTTGTTACAGTGTATTTGTTACACTATCTTTATTACAGTGTATTTATTACACTGTTATTGTTATACTATTCATTATTCGGATATTAAATTAATTTAAAAATAAAATTATTTCTAAAAAAAAAATGCTTGAATTAAGTGCATTAAATATAATTGAAAAACAAAATCATTTTTTTTAAAAAAATACACGTAAATCAAAGTGCATTAAAATAAATTCAAAATTTAAATAAGAGATTTAACAATAAAATAAAATATATATATA